TTAAAAATGCATTTCCTTAACGTCACTCTAGGCAATCATGAAGAAGCGCCACAGTCCCGAGACAGAGATTCAACCTTTTTCAAACATTTAAGTTATCTTTCAATATGCAAATCAAAGAAGGAAAACTGGGGAATGGCTGTAACTTAATACTACAAAATTTTTCCTCAGATAGTGTTTTCAGATAACTTCTATGAAAATCAACCTAGCCATAACATGGATATCTGAAGGAAGGTTTGAGACCACTACATGGAGCAGTAAACCTAACTGAAAATAGGAAAGTTGAGCTAATTCTCTAAGAAAGACAAATACCACTTGATCACCCATTTAAAGGAAAGATCACACACATTTAAAGGAGAGAGCATACCCTGATTCTTACAAGTGCTTCTCTACAAACAAGACCTCAGACAAGAAGCCAGGCTTCTGAGCAGAACACTGCCATTTCTGTCACCATTCTGCAATTCTATTCCCACTCCTGCCTTTGCTTTTTGAGCGACAGAGCTTTAGGACTGTTATCCAGACAACTGGCCCAGCACAATATGTGGGGCAGAAGGGAATGAAAGCTCCTCAGCTCCACACATTCGCTTCCTCCAACCTCTAACAAAGATCTCCTACAGAAAGCAGTTGGAGAGCAGCATGGGCACAGGAGAATTAAAGCTATGTCCTCTCTAGACAAAAATCAGTCTTAGGCCTCAAATTAAAGACTAGAAAGCAAAGAAGAGAGACCAAGACTGAGAAGGGCAACCAGAAAAGAACTATTTTAAGTTTTATGATAAACATCTTACTAGATTAAGTCAACTAGCAATCCAGCTATAACATTAATCAATATTTATATGGCTCATCAGAATGCCAGGCTCAAATTGCCTGAATGCCTTTGCTTAATTTCTCTACAATGCTCTTCGAAGACTTTTGTGTTGAGATGCCTTTTTTCTTTTTGAGGAAAAAGGGAGAGAAGAGAGATACCAACCACATTCACACATAAAGCTCTCACTCAGACAGTTTCATTGTGTATTTGGCATACATAACATTAAGATTTTAAAAGAGAATTATGATGCTACATGTTATGTATGCCAAATACACAATAAGATTTTAAAAGAGAATTATGATGCTACTTTGAAAATATATAATTTATATTAACTCATAAAGCTATTCTTTAAGTGTCAGTAATGACAACTTTTTAGTTTGTAGTTAATTGTTTTAATGTTATTCTATAAATTAAGCCAATGACAAGTTCTCAGCAAGACTAGGTGAAATGTATGTTTCCATTTCACCAGTAAGAGTCAAGAAGTCATGTGTGTGTCCCCGCCCCCCAGCAAAAGTACCAATGCAAATATAGAAAGCTGACTAAAATGACATAATTTAGAGAATCAGGGTTGTTCCCTCTGTCTTGTTTTACAAACGCATCTAACTACAGTACTTCCTAACAAGTGATGCAGAATTTTGAATATAAGTTAATATACCATATAGCTTCAGGTCAAAATACCATGACTACGACTATTACATAGACTGTGTCACAACAGAGGTTAACAACTGCCCCAAAGCTTTTACATAGGCACAGCCACTTCTATACATATAATCAAAAGCACTACATAGAAGCCTGGCTACTACTGTTTACAGGAAGGCACGGCAGTTCTGTGGGCTGTCTTGCAACACTGTTAATTGACAGGACATGTAATATGGACACGACCGTAACATAATCACAGGTTAAAAAAGAGATACCAGGTAGCTGGTGACAATAGCAGAAGTACTGGTGCCCAGCTTCTATTTCCAGCCTACTAAATAAAAAGGAATTCTAGACTGACAGTTGAAATGTCAAGAGAAAGCAGCAATTTCTGCTGCAGCTGATAACAGTCGTAACAGACAAATATTTAAGTCTTCTGCTTGACCTTCCAGCAAATTCTTTTAAGAAGTAGTTTCAGGGTGTTCCTTAAGGCATTGTTTGCCAGACACACTAAAAAAAAGGCATGCCCTTTCCCCTGTGCTCCTTCCATAAACACCCATCTCTTCACTTTTTCAGAAACAGCATACTGAGCTGGATTGCCTTCCATCTAACCCCTTTCGGTTCATACCCAACTGCAAGCTGTTAGTCTGACAGAAAAGGTCTGAAAACCTAAGCATTATCAAATGCCCACTTTTTTAAAATAAACATCCCAACACCTCTCTTGATCTAGTAAGAAGTGTATCCAAGACTTCATTTTCTTCTGAAAATACTATTATACAAAACAAATCAAAAGTGTAGAAGTATATCTTGGGTAGTGTTACAGACACACCTGGTTTAGCCAATATGGCACTTATCAGTCCCTAAATATTCACCTTCTGGGAAGAAGTACCAGAACTCAGTCATAAACTTCTAAGGCTTAACACTACCTAAGCTTTACTGTGAGGTCACAGCACCTACATGGTTCTAAAATATCACACGGGAGTTCAAAGTTTCTTTATAGTTCTGAACGTGGCTGCTGGTTGAAACATGAGGCCTAAGCTTCTCAAAACACTCAGCAGG